ATTATGTGATTTTAATAAAGAACTATAAAAAAAATAAAAAACTTTCATTCATATTTAAAAATAATGTATTTATTTTCTTCAATAAGAGTTTATTAAAATAATACAGTTTTGAAAAAAAATTTAAAAATAAGGTATTTTAATTTTTTCAATAAAAATTTATTGAAATAATATAATTTTGAAAAAATTTATGAAGTAAAACAAATAAATATTATTTTCATGTATATACTATCAATTTAGATTATTTATACCAAGATTAGTAAGTTTATTTAAAATTAATTGTATTTTTTTAGAATTAAATTCTAATTAATTCCGAACCTTATAGAAACTAGGAAGATTAATTTTTTCTATGGCCACCCCGTATTTGATTATTTGTATTAAAAATAAAATATGGTGAGATCTGTAACCTGTGAGAATGGAAAACTTTGCTAAATCATGAAGTGAAGTTAGAAAAATTACACATGCCTATAAAGGTTGGTTAGTTGTCCCATATTTTATTCTTCAAACAAAATTCAAATAGAAATTTTAAACTTAATAATGAATGAATGAATGCCTAAACTTTCAAACAACAACCAACAAAAATACGTAAATCAATGATGGAAAATCTGTCGGAAAGCCAACAACCTTTGACAGGGGCATGATGGGCGTCCTTCCTTTTTTTTTATTCATCAAACATAAACTACTAAATTAACCAAGAAAAAAGGAAAGGCGTTTGTTTGAGTTTAAAAAATTATTTTATACAAAAATACAATTCAAGCTGACATACGTAGTATAAGTAACGTCATAATTTTATTAAGGCTAATTTCTTTTTTTATTAATGATAAAGTCACTTTTTCAATCATTTAATTTACGTAATTTTGTAATACTTTTATTATTAACAATAAATTAAATTATCATTTTTTTACTGAAATTGTATATTTTTTAAGATTAGTCTTTTTTTTAATGAATTTTAAGATTATACCTCATATATTAGTCTAATATATTTTAAAACATCAAAAATTTTAAAATATTGATCTAATAAAACTTTAAACATGATTGCAAAGTAACACTTATATATAATAAACTCAACTCTTAGTGCTAAATTAAGTTAGTATCATTTAAAAGCTAGAGTTGCGTGATAGTGGTGCCAAAAATAAAAGTTAAATGACGAATTACAGATCAGTGCGTTTTCCATAAAAAATAATATAATATATATATATATATATATATTATATCAGTGCGTTTGACCCACAAATAGTGTTTAAGTCAACATCCAATCGATCCCCATAGGGCAAACATTTTTTTCAAGTCCACAAATATGCACAAAAAGTTTCTTTAATTTCATGGATTATTTTATCAATTTATAATGTATTAGAATATTTATAAATATTAATAAATTAATTACTTTTAAATAATTAAATAATAAATATTAATTATTTTATAAAAAATTTATTTAATCTCTATTTTTAAAATACAAATTAAGAATATAATAAATATATTTTTAATTAATTTATATATAAAATTATAATAATTAACATATATTTTAATAATATTAACATATAAATAATTTTAATTAATTAATTAATAATTTTATTATAATAAAATATATTTATTTCATAATTATCTTGTACCATAAAAATATAAAATTTTAAAAAAAACTTTATATAAATTACCACTTAACAACTATCATTATTAATCGTTTCCGAAAATCAAAGTAAACATGATTATAACTTTTGCCTGCACAAAACAAAAGTTGGCGATAACGATTCCCGATCAATACGTAGAAGATTACCTGCATTTACTCATTAAAAAATCTCCTCAGTATCTT